ATTTCTTTTCTTAATTCTTTATCTTCCAAATCTATCATTTCCATATATTCTTCCACAAATTCTTTAGTTACTATTATTCGATTATTTACCCCAAAACTCTTCATTCTTTGAATTTCTGACACATCTATTTCATATCCCAATTTTTCTAAGTTGTTTCTTAATTCTATTAGCTCATCTTGTTCATTCTTCTGCGCTTCTTTAACACATTCCCCGCACTCGCTATCCGCTTCGTCCATTTCGAACCTTCTATTACCACATTTTTCACACATTATTGTTTCTTTTTCTAACCATTCTTTTATCCTCAATTCTTTTTCTCTTTCATCCAATTCCTCTACCTCTTGAATTTTGTCCATAAATATTCTCGTTACCAATATATCCATTTCTATCATCAACTTTATTCCTATCTTCCAAATGTACCTCAGTTGATCTTTATCCATAACATTTGACCTTCTTCTTAATTCACTAAATTTCCATGATTTGTCTCCTATTATTATCTCTAATTCTTCCTCAGAATCATTTTCCAACTCGTAACTTGCTGGACTATCTTCACTTTCTGAATCTTCTGGTTCTTTTGTAAAACCCCTAGTATCTATAAATATTCTTATTATCTTTTGTACCATATTCCTATGATATTCATGAACATTTTCTATATGTATGTTCTCATATTCTATATCGGACATTAGTTCCTTTACTTTCTCTTCATTCATAGCTATTCCTTCTTCTTCATATAGTAATTCCCTAAATGTCTTTATTGCTCCTATCTTTACTCGTAATGGTCCAATTTCTTTAGATGTGATTCTATACCATTGCCAAAATTTTTCAAACCTTCTTTCAACATCCCAATCTTCCAAAATATATTTGTGTTCTATTAATTCAGGATTTCCAATTAATCTATCAAATACTTCATTCTCCAGATTTCTTTCAATACAATCTCTTACAATTACTAATATAATTGTTCGTAATCCTTTTTCTTTCATCTTTGGTTGTATTCTATATCTTATTGATTCTGTTATTCTATCCATTATATCTCTGCATTTTCCTTTATGTATTGTATCCTCTCTTTCTGAATTGTTCATACTTAATAAATCTAATACTCCCTTAATTGTTACGTCATTATATATTATTATTGCATCTTCAAATTTAAATAATGCGTCCCAAAATTTCTTGAATACTATTGGTTCATTTACTATTGGATAACATAATTCACAATTTAAACATTCGTCCAATTCTTCCGTTCCTAATTCGTGTTCATATTTATGTGTTCTATATTCGCTTTCCCATTGATGGTACCATTCCATTGTATGCTTTAGTTAAATTGCCATGAATATCCATCCAGAATTTCAATCGGACTCCTCTCTCTATATATATATATATTTCACTCTTATCGTTTCTATTTTTGATCTTCTAAACATTCTTTTTATCTTCAAATAGATTACTTCTCTCAATCTTTAAATTCCATCTTTCAGTTCTATATATTTACTACGCTATATTTTACTATTAATTTTTACTGCGCCATAAAATTTCAAAAATTTTTCTAAGTCCACAATCTCCTCAGGCTGCGGAGGTTTTTACTGCGCCCTAAAATTTATCTTTTATCACCGATTTCCATAATTTCACATGTCACATCTTTTCGTCACCGTGATTCATAGTTTCACTTATCACCTCTTTTTGTCACATCTTTTTGTCACCAAGATCCATAATTTCACATATCACAAACTTTATGAAAATTCTGGAGTTTTAAGGTTTGCGAATTTCCAATCTTTCTTATCGTCCACATAAATCCTTCTTACTATATATTCTATATTATATAAATTAATCTATAACACACAAAATGTCGTTCTTTTCAGATAAATGTCTTTCTTTTCAAATAAATGTTCTTTTTCAAATAAATATTCCTTTTCAAATAAATGTTCTTCTTTTAAATAAATGTCCTTCTTTTCGGATTTTACTCTATTATTAAATACTGCACGTAATGTTCATTATACGGCTCGTTAATGTGTAAATATCCTTCTATTTTTTCTTCTTTTAACGGAACATTGTAGTGAGAGCGTGAACTAGGACACTACACCAGGAACCCTCATCTGAAATGTAGCCTAGGACCTGTAACAATACAACGTGTCCGTTTTTTCCTTCTTCGTTGGCCGACTCGTTTCTCAACGGGTGAATCTAACCTTCCAAAATCCAGTTTCAAAAGTCATCAGCTATCCATAAAACTCATCTAAACCAACTTTCTTAAATTGGTGGACCTATACTGAGCTTATCTCTATCTTTTACCCGCTGGAGATACCCCACATTGGAATAAAAGCACGACAGTTTTCAGGTTTGTCCCATTTTATCCATTCAATGTTTCTTGATAGTAGGTGTCTTTACAATCTTCATTTTCCGTCCCCAAAGCAATTTGCGCATTTATTGAGCTGGGTATCCAGATTTGACGTAACCCATACGTTATAATCTTTAATGTCGAAGAATAAAAATTTTCCAATCTTGAGCATTTATCCAAAATCCAAACTCAGAGGTAACCCATACCACACAGATGAACCCCGGATAATACATTGGTGTTCTCCCATTATTAATCTTTATTCCAAAATTTATCTTTAACTTCAACATCTCCTTATGAAATTTCTCAGGTACTTTATTCCCGAAAGAAACATTCTTGTGCTTTCTATCGATTAAGTGATTACTTGCACAACTACAAACTCCAATCTTTCACCTTTTCAAGTTTTTAACTCGTTAAATCCTAATTGATTTATTGGTTCCTTTTGAACTCGTCAAAACCTGAAATCTAAAAATAAATTCTAAAATAAAATATTGATTAATAATACCTATCAGTGACTTACTAACGAAATTAAATTTTCATATTCATTATAATAATAATCATGTGATGATGATCATTTCCTTTCTTGCGAGCATGCACCATATGAGATCCCCCAATTCCCCCTGTCATCAATTTACAAGGTTGCCACATCGAACGGGCATTCTCATGGTCGAACGAACGAATGAACGAACAAACAAACGAACAAACGAACAATTAAACGAACAAGCACGTGATCAAAACATAATTAACAAACAACAACATCAGCGAACAACGTACAACAACATTCTTGGTTCATAAAATAAATAGAGTTAGTAATACAAAACATTAAACGATATAAAATAAAATATACATCTCTTTCCTCAAATTATATCCACTTTTACCTTTAATTTCAAACTTCGATAGCTCTCGCTACGAATTATCACTTTTCAAAACATATATTTAATTCTTCTTAAATTTTCATTAATTAAAATTAATTAATCAAACATTAATTAAAGTTTAGGGCGAACCTATTACCTTTAATTAATATTAAACTTCATTAACAAATAATTAAACGAAACTTATATTTTATTGAGTTCTGTGGATGCGAACTATGGAATTACTTTGAATTCCGTTCTCTATATATACAATTTTTATGCTACTTTCTATTCTATCTATATACTATCTTTTATGTTTTTTACATATTATCTTTGAACTATCTTTCTAATATACTATCTATATTTTAAATACGCTATCTTTTAATATGCTATCTTATATATTATTTTATATATTATCTTTTCTATTATAAGAATATTACATCGTAAAGAAATAATTTATAACCCATCTTTTATGGCTGTGCTATCTTCTCTTTAAAATAATCTTTCAAATATTATGTCGTAAAGATATAATTCATCTTTTGTGGCTGTGTTATCTTTTATATATGTTCTTTTTAATATGTTATCTTTTATATTCCATCTTTATGCCATCTTTTCATATTATCTTTTATATTATTTTGTGTTCTTTAATCTTTCCGACATTATTTTATATGTTCTTTTAATCCACTTTATATATTTTGCTTATAATCTATCTTTCGTGGCTTATAATTATTCTTTCTTATCGTTCTTGTAAAGATCGCTAAGCCGCAAATGATCGACTCTATTTATCCTATTGGTTCTTTGTCAATCATTCAATAAATATTACGTCATGCAGATCATTACTCTTCTTAAATGTTTATCCTTTTCGGCTAATTATTTATCCATCTACGCCAATCCACGATTAATTTGTTCGTTCTTAATACTTAATAATTACATTTGGCGGTTGAATTTTATCTTCTTTTCGTGCTTGATATTCGGCCGTTTACATCGGTACCCGATATGTGTAAGATTGATTCAGTGTTACATATTAGTGACTAATCGTTTAAATATCAGGAATCCAATTTTTAGGTATATTTGATATGTTAGCATATTTAACTATTTGTGTCTAAATTCCATGTTTTAGAGGTTCGGCTAATTAAATATATTTAATTTTAGTATTATTTAATTATTATAGTGAGTCAAAATAATAATAAATAAAATAAATAAATAAATCAATACCTTGGAAAAGAGGGTTCAAAAAAAATGCCAGCAAGTAATCATTATCATCAAATTCATTGAAACGTGCATTAATTTTTTCAATACAATAATTATGAAATTCTGAATAAACTTGACGTGGTAATTTTTTTATTGCAAGAGAAATTCAAGCTAATTCTAAGTAACAATCGCTTAAATCAGCTTCTCTCCTTTCTAATGCTAACACAGCTTTACACAATGGATTTTGAACAAATCCAAGAACCTTCAACTCATTAAAAAAATTTCACGAACAAATGATAGGTTTAATTTTATCATTTGTTAATAAATCTGAGTGGTTGGCTGCCATCTATAGAAAAATTTATTATTCATATAATAATAGTATAAATAATAAAATTAGTTTTACTTATATTTTCTAGAACAGCTTTCACTTTCAAAATATCATCAATGCTTTTATAAGCAGTCGTCTACCTTATTTTGCAGTAAAGCACGATCACGCCACCTTTAATATTCATTGTATTTAAAAGTTCCTAGAACTTAGCATCTACAGTAATTTTTTTTTGTAAAAAAAAAAAAATTCAATTTAGCAATTATTAAGTATTAGTTATTTACTAATCTAGTAGTATATAAATGGGTTATCATCCGAAACCCATTTATATATTAAACTAGATCAGTAAATAACTTTTTTATCATCCTAGATATACTAATTAGTCTGCCAGTTTATAACTGGCAAAAAAAATCCTAAATACCAATTAGTAGCCAAGTGATAAAATAAATTATTACATTTAAGTTTAAAATATTTTTACCTGCTTTAGTATTATTTCTAAAGAATGTTACTAAAATATTCACTTTTTTTAGGAGTTTATTAGCGAATGGATGTTGAACTATGTCACATAACATTAAGTTTATATAGTGTGAAATGCATCGAACATTTATTATGTTTGGAAATTTTTTTTCAGTTAATTCACGTGCTTTTTGAACATTAGATCCATTATCACTGACAATAGCTGAAAATTTTGATACTCCAACTCGATTGATAACATCTTCTTTTCCGCAATATATTCCCCAGTATGTGAATCACTAAATAGATCAGAAAATTGAAATATATATTCTTTTCTATTTGGAGTTAGTATAGTAAAATTCCATATAGATCTATAGTTAGAAGATGACCACCTGTCTAAAGCTAATATTAAAAATTAAATATAAATTAAATATATCAAGTTATCAACAGATTTTCATTAAAAATTTTTTTTAAGTAACATACTTAGTGTTAAATTGTCTGACATTTGCAATTCTTTATGAATTTTAGAATTAACATTCCCTAATTCATCTTCAAATAAGCGATTGGCCAATAGTTCCCGAAATGGAGGGTCATATGCAATGTTAAATTTATTGATAAAATCTGTAAAAAATGGTGATTCTACTATACAAAAGATATTTTATAACATACAAAGAACTTTAACAAAGCTCTGTTGATTCTATCAATTCTTCTTTGAAGTAATTCATCAGCATCGTGATAATCATATAAAAATGTTTGATTAGAAAATTTTCTTTTTTTATTATTATTGTTTGCTTTCTCTTCAAATACTTTTTGATAATTTTGAATTAAGTGAGGTGGGGCATTTGAATAATGGTTTGCAATATGTCTCTATAATGTAGACACATTATTTCTGCTAAAAATTTTTTTACAAAATTTACAAGTTCCATTTGCATGCCCTTCTGAATCATGCTCACCTTGCGTATAATGCTCCTATACTTCATTCTGCGAACAACCTTCTTTGCGTTTATTAGTAATCATTTTTATAGAGAATAAAAAAATTTTTTTTTATCAAAAAATGACATGTTGTAAAAACAAATTTTTTGGAATGATGACGATTTTTAATTTAATTAATATTGCAAAATTTTCCTAACTGAAATGATTAAAATAAATTAAAATTACACAAATTTATCGTTGAAATTACATAAAACATCTCATAATAGGCAACCCTCATTATCTTTATACTTATAAATTAAAATATCACTCTCGTGATATATAAAATAAGATTATGACATTTTTTTTATAAAAACTCCTTGGACACATTGTGACATAAATGTCAATTTTATTTCCAAAAAGTTGTCACTACAAAAAAAATAAGGAAAAAACGTTAGCAAACATTTTGTAACCAAAGAAAAGTAAAACCCACATTTATATTTCACGTTCAAATACTGATTTTGTCTCTAAGAAGTTATTACTACAAAAAAATATATAGAACATTAGTAAACGTTCTATAACCAAAGATAATTAAAAAAATCCTTCATTTCACTCACCTTTCACCAAATCTTTGTTCTTAAAATACTAAAGACAAAGATCTAAAAAAGAAAGAAAGACATTAGTAACGAGTTAGTATAGAAACGAAAGAAGCAACAAAAAAAGACTTAACCTTTCTTTTTTAGGTATCATTTCGTTTTAAGTCTAATAAGGACACTGCTTACTTATAAGATAAGTCACCTTCAGGCTTAAGGTAAAAATCATATATAAAATTCTTTGCAAATCCTACTATAAAAGGAAATTTTATGTTACATTATTATGATTTTTTTCCTTTTTAGCTAATTAACCAATAGAATTTAAGAAAAAAGTAAGGTAAAAACTATTAGTAAAGAGCTAATTTTCTACGGTGACCTTTATTATAAGTAAGCAGGGTCCTGTCCAATACCAAGAAGCTGGTATCCCTACAAACAAAAAAAAAGAAAAAAAGAAACGTTAAAAACGTTTCTTAAAACATTAAAATTTTTTTAAAAAAACCTTCTTTTTACCTATCCGTCTGTATGTAAATTCCAGTTTCATCAATTCCAAGAAAACTGGTATCCCTATAATATTTCATTTTTCGTTAGAAAATGTTTCTTAAGTTATAATAAATTTAAAAAAGAATACCCACTTATCTTAATGTCCATGTTATCCATGTCCAAATTTATCCATGTCCAAGTTTATCCAGTTCAGTGTCTATACAAAAATAACAAAAATAAAAAAAAAAATTTTTTTTTATATATTGATTATTGATGATCAGTATAATTGACCAATCCTAACCGAATAGAGTAATGCTGAAACTATATGTATATCATATGATATACTATGTCAAAATGCCAAAACGATTTTGATATATTAAAATTATTACGGCATTTCGACAAATCAGAAGGCCATTGTCAAAATGTCGAAATAGTTTTGACTATTTTGACATGTTGAAACTCTTTAATTTTGGCAAGCAACTTTAATTATTACGTTATTGTTAAGAGAGTCGTAACTATATCAATATGTTATCATTTTAGAAAATCATCATAAAATTGTTATGATCTCATAATGATATCGTTAAGATATTATTTTAGATTTGAATATTTCAGTAAAAAAGAGTAAATGATAGTGTTGTTAAGTCCAAGTCAAGCTGAACCGGGCCAAACCGGGCTGATGGGATCAATTCGGCTTGACTTCTAGCTTAAAGCCGAATCGGTTTGGTTCGACTTGATAATTTCAAGTCGCGACTTGGTTCGACTTGAGTTGCAGCGGGCTGATGGGACCGATGGAGCCGATGGGATATAAATCCTAATTTCAGCCGGAATTAAATGATCTACACATAAATTTCCTATTTTGGAATATCATGTAATCCAAAATTTTAATTTTCGTAAAAAATAAAATTGCCTTTTTTTGGAATTTCGTGTAACATACATATTTCTGCCGAATTAATAGACCTTTAATTCCAGCCGGAATTAAATGATCTGCATGTAAATTTCCTTTTTTGGAAATTTGTGTAACTCAAAGTTTCAATTTTCGTGGATAATAAAATTTCCTTTTTTGGAATTTTGTGTAATGTCACGTGATATTGCAGTGTCAATCGGCCCCATTGGCCCGCCACAACACGGTTCGGCTTGGTTTGACTTGAGTTTTCAAGTCGATTCAGTTCGGCTTGGTTCGGCTTAACTTTTTATCAGCGCGACTTGACTTTAGCTTCAAGTCGGACCGAACCGGGCTGATAACAACACTAGTAAATGAATTAGGACTTTCAGAATTACCAGTTTATAATAAGCCTTTTAAATGTAAATTGAAAAATAAAGATAATACATTATATGTCATAGATAAGGATGACGCTGCAAATAGGCAATTGCAGAATAATTGCGATTTGCGGTATTGCAGAACATTGCGGATTTTGAAGTCTAAATATCTGCAAATCTGCAATTCGCAATTATTTGCAATTCCGCAAATATTTCGCAATTCCGCAAATGATCTAAAGTACCGCAATTCAATTGCAGTACAATTGCGGTAGGACCTCAGATAATTATAATAGAGGTCATATCCATGATACTAATAAAAATTCAAAAAAAATATACATAAATTTAACCATTTTATTATACGCTTTTATCCTATAACCTTTATATAACATTAAAATATACTTTTTTGTCATATGACTTAAATATATATTTGCATTAAAATTTTGTCATTTATTTATTTAATATTAATTGTAATTTGTCTTTTACTGAATTAAAAAAATTATAAATTTCCATTTCTCTTTTTCCAACTATAATAAATCCCATATTTTCTTTACATGTTTCGCAATTTCCTAGATAATAAATGATGGAATTGCTAGAAATGTGCGAGTATAAGATATATTTAGGACTGGCTATTGAAAAACATCCAAAAATATTTGGTACTCTTTCTTCATAAACACATACAGAAATATAGGAAAGTGAATCAATACAAGTAACATTATCATCAACATAAGAATAGTAATTTGATGATTGACGATATATTGCCAAGAACCGGACGAGATAAATTTTTGACCCTAGAAGAGCAAATGCATAACCACCACTTTTGGCAGGATCTTCTGGAGTAATGTTTGCAACGCAAATTCTTGGCAAGGCTAAAAAATAAATTAAATTTAATAAATATATATTTAGTAATAAATTTAATAAATTGTAAAAATTTATTACCTGGAGCATGAAGTATTCTTTCTAATGTTTCTAAACGATTTCTACTTTGCCATCTCTTTACTCTTAAAATTCTAGATCTCGCACCATTATTTTGATTCAAAGCTATAATATTATTAACCTTATTAGGATTAAAATTTAATTCCGTTTGAAATCTTTGTGTCACTTGAATTCTCTCCATTCTTTGACTAGAATAAGATTCATGTTTACGGCGCTGTAATACTAAAATTTTAATATCTAATTTACCTGATGATAATATAATTCCGGTTTGAAATGTTGTTTCATCATCTTGAGTAATTATTTTATCTGATTGATTATACATTAAATTTATTTCTGCCTGACTTTGTTTTATAATTAAATTATCATCATCTCCCGAATTAAAAATATTAATATTACATATGTTAACCAAATCTGCAGCCTTGCTAATTTCATCTGATTCAGAATTATCAGCTTTTTCCATTTTATCGTCATCCTGATTTAAATTTTCATCTAGTATATCGTTTTCATAAAATAATATATATGTATTAAATGATCTACCGTAAAAAAGATTTTTGTACAATTGTACCCAACAAATTCTAGAATTTGAGCAAATGCAATTGCCTGTTCATGAGATTCATGAATAATTAAATGCATTTCTTCATTTGTGGGATATGCTAATAAATTACCAATATTATCAGCTATGGTATCTTCATAATAATTCACTATATAACCTAATATTAAATAAACCAATAAATAAGTATATCAGATATATTATAAATAAAAATATGTTAATTAAACTAATTACCTTCTGCTGAAGTTTTTTCACTGTATATCTTTGCTAAAGATACATCAGTATAAATATGAAACATATGATTAATTTTTGGAATTATTTTTATCAGATTTCCAAAAGTAAAATCATTACGTAGTTGTCAACTTAATCCAAAAAAATGTTCATATAGTTCTGAACTGTGAATCCATGTGCATAACGGAACAGTTGGATAATAATCTCGATATGCCAATATTAGTAAAATCTTTAAAAAATTATAAATTTCATTATAATATATATTTAATAAATATAAATTTACTAACAGAAATTCACCAACGATTCTGCTAAACTGATAAGTATTTTAAATGTTTGAGGCGCAAGAAAGTTTTTTCTTATATCAATAATATCTGGATGATCTTTTTGAATTTGCTCAATATGATTATTCCACATATAAAGAAAAAAATAAGCTAACATAACCATTCGGCACTTTTCTTTATGTGAAATAGTATGATTTTGATATGCATCAATCAACTCACCTAAAAAATTAAATTTATATATTTATATTAGTTTAATAATTATAAATAAATAAGTAATCAATCAATTAATTAAAATTATTCACCAATTACAAAAAGATAAATAAATAAACCATGTTTATTAGGATCTTGTGAACCATTTTGATCATATACTTGTTCTAAAAATGCTGAACAAAAAATTTGATAGGCCACACCATCATCCTACCGATCAGTATTTTCAACATCACATATATAAAGTACACTATCAGACATTTTACTAAGTGTAAGTATTTGATCATATCTTGCTATTCCAGTTCCTAAAGTAAGCAATCTAGCACCAGAAAATAATGCATTTCTCTCACTCTTTTTTCCATGTTTAGCATCTTAGATACGAATTTCTGGGCCGATTCCAGGAAAAACAGGACATTTAAACTTTATATTGTACAATTGATCTTCAAAAATAATATTTTCAGTAGTTGATGTACTCATTAACATTAATTGTGCATTGAATTCATTTGCTGCTCCATCTGAACCAAATGATACAATATTAATCTTCAATTGCGCTGCATATTGTAAAACTTTTTGATGATAAGCAAAAATATCAGCAGCTTTTTCTTTATTATTATTTGGAATTAAACCAATAACTATCGGTGGAATTTTGGGTAAGGGAATCTAAAAAAAATTTAGATATTAGTAATATTTAAAATTTAAAAATGTAGAATTGAAATAAATTGCACCATTAAAAACAAATACCTGAAGTAAATAAATTTGAACTTGTTTTGCTATAGTATTTTCAACCTTTATTTTATCAATGATTGTAATAACTTCTTCATAATTTGATACTTTTGTTTCAGAAACTGATAAGGTTGATCCAATAACACAACCTAAAGTTGCTGAATAACTAAGACTTTCTTTTAATTTCGTATTATCCGTCATGGTGGCAACAGGTCCGTTATAATTTAATGAATCAGCAAATTTTTTAAATCGCATCATATTTTCATAACAAATATCTGTATTACTAATTGATTCATCTGATTGTGCATGATGTAATCTAAAAAGGCGTAATGTAAATTTAATTTGGTTAGATTAATAATCAATATTAATATATAATAAAATATTTACCTAATATTACGAAGTGTTTGTTTAGCTAAATTTTGTTTAAACATTTCATATTCTCTTATTCCAAATGATGCTAAAATAGTTGTAAAATTTGCAAAATTTTCTGGATATTTTAAATTTTGATTTCCTTTATTTCTCTATTCACGATCTGCTATTTCTACCATTATTTTACATAACCCTTCAAAAATTTTTTTATTTTTAAATACTCCTTGGCGTCTTTTTTCTGCTAATATTACCCAAAATGATGAGTCAGAATCTTGTGCTAAATCTATTGAATAATAGAGTTCATTGAGACTAGAGATGCGATCCGGATGAAATTTTACAATCCGTGATCCGCACGGATCAATCCGGATTATCATAGGATTAAATCCGGATAATCCGGATTAACTTCAAATTTTTGGGTATCTTTGCATCCAACGATCGTA